AGAGAGAGAGAGAGAGAGAGAGAGAGAGAGGGTTTGGGTTGGGGATGGAGTTATGGAAAAATTATGTGAGAGAAAGAGAGATGAGGAGAGTTGAATTCATCGGTGGGACGGTGGGGGGAATTTGAGCACGTGGGGATAAAAGGGGCAAATGAGGGAGGAGGGGAAATTGACCACGTGGGGTGGGGGGTTTTATTGTTTAACGAAGGAGCTGGCTCCTGAGGAGTGAGTGTGGCGTCGAAATTCCAAGGCCAAACTGTCGGGATCGGTTAGTCTCGTCGACGCCCAGCTTGCCATCGTGTCTCTCTTTTCTACTGTAACTTCCATCGTCGCAACTTTTCGCACCAAAATGTTTATCTCAGGCCATCTTAAAAAAAGATGTTAAATTTTTAATTCAACAGCTTACATAACACTTTGATATTTTTAAATTTTTTTTTCACGATGTTAAATTCTAAATTATTATAAATGCTAAGTCAATAAAAAGCATGGTCAATCAACAATCTGTTATAATAAATGTTTAAACCAATAAAAAAAACTAATAAAAGTAATTTTTTTGGGTGACATTCATTTATAAAGGAATTTGAAATTCATACAGTACATGGAGGATAAGGTACAAAATAAATGGTCTCAATAAAAACCTTGTCGAGAATTTTAATCTAGTCGAAGGGAAAAAGAGCGTCTCACACCTTAGTTACAAAGATAAACTATCCTCCATAAGGAGATCTTAATGATATCAGGGGGATTCTTCAAACCACACTCTTCATTACTCACTTGAACGTCCCAAACGTGCCAATCGATAAGCCACTTTATTGGACTCTTTTCGGGTATGGAGAGCTCTTGTTTTGGGGATTAAACGGAGAGAATGTCTTGTGTCATTAATTATATGCCCCACTGATGTATCATCATCTGTTGTCATTTTACAACAACCCCTTTACTACCAGTCCATGTCATGTCAAATAGAAATTGTCATTTCGGTTGGAAAACTATTACATGAAATAAAAAGCCTTTGGGCAATCCAAATACAAGCATAGCCCAAAAGAAAATACAATAGAAATGGCCAAAAAGAGCAAGCTCACAACATAAAAAACCTAGATCTAGAAGATTGTTGACCCCACCACAATAGCTGTGCGGCCATTGCCGATCCGCCACTAAGAGGAAAAACCCACAAACAAGCTAGATGAACAAAAAATGGGAGTGAGTGAGTGAGCCATCCACATAAAAAGCACTCCCATAATCCTATCAATTAGTGCTAAAAATACTTTAGCAACCACTACAAGAAAACATGGCTTAGGTGGTGACAGACATTCGTCACATAAACAAGAAAATTCGTCACATCTGACAATATGTGACGAAATTCTAAGGTCACCAATGCATCACCTCTACAGCTGACCTATAGTCCATGTGACGAATTTTATTTTCACCACATTTTTTCAGTATACGTGACACAACATTCATCACTTAATAACAATATGTGTGATGAATTATATGTCACTTAATAACAATATGTGCGACGAATTATACATCATCAAATACAAAATTACGTGACCTATTTTTTTGTCTCGTATCAGGTTTATAAGTGATGATTTTGTAGTCATCCAATATGATACCAAATGATATAGTTTACACTAAGTGACACTGAAAAGGTCACATATTCCTTTATATGTGGCTCAACTTACATCACATATGTTTAAATCAAATACCTTTCTAGAAATAATAACAACGAACTAATTGTTTTTCTTGTTTCGTAATCTAGAATTGCAATTCATAACAATTATAAGGTAATACCTCACATTTTCATTAATCAACAATTAAAACACATAAGTCAAATACATTCACCAAATGTACATCCCAAAAGTTAAAGTCATGGTGACCTATCTCAAAAGAGAAGTTTAAAACAGCTTGAGGTGCCTAACAAAACATAGCTTGAGGTGCCTAACAAACGACAGCTTGAGGTACCAACAAAAGAGAAGTCTAAGCAGAATAATCAAGAATAGTAACACCTATATATAGATATCTTGGGTACTAACAAATGACAAGTCCAAGGCACATTTAGGTGCTAATTAACAAAAGAGGTGCTATATGTGCTAACAAAAGAGGTGTACCATGTGCATACTTGAAACTAACCACAAAAGACACAATATGGACATCATTCCTCTTCCAAATCATGTTCTTCCAGCTCAGGATAAGTATTTTCACCCTTTAAAATATCACCATCAGATTATGAGAGTTGTTAGTCTTCTCTTGACTTGCAGCAATAAATGCCTTGATTTTTGTGAACAGCTTTTCATCATCATTACGTAAATCCAATCAAGCTCTCAATTGTTCATTCGCTTGTTTCAATTTGAGGAAATCATCTGACAGAAGCTTGATCTGAGATCTCATATCAGTTAACTCGGAACTTGATGCCATAGAAGAAATGCAACCAGAGGTATCCATACGAGGAAAAACACCTACACCATTAATTGATTTTCCCTTCCTCCCGAGGTTTTCAGCCATGATTCCAAACTCATCATCGAATGGCATATGTATGGAATCTGATGGTGTACCTTTAGGTGCTTCTTAGATCAGCTTCTCCCTTATTTCATCCTTCCTTTTCTTCATGTTATCCTTTCATAATTAAATAGAAACAATTTAGTTTCTTTCAATTCCAAACATTTCAGCTATAATATGCTTAAGAAAACACAACTTGACCACTTGTATGTTATCCTTATCTGATGCAGAAGCAAATCACCATGCAAAACCTGTATGTAAACATGATTTGTAGTTTCTATTTGACTATGGATTAAATTGGACTAGGCACATATAATGTTTTTCTCAACAAGTAACAAACGCAAAGTTAGCATAAGATATATTAGTGGGACAAACAAGTAGTATCGTGTCAATTTTGCATGTTTATTTCAACTGTGTTTCTTAAGTTGTATCTTGTCAATTGTAAAATTTTAATCTCCAGTGCATTTGAAATGACAAAAAATAAGTGGCCCATGAATGGCTTACATATTTTTCTCGAGCAACATCATTGATCCACTGGTCGTTCTTGTCTTTGTGAAAAGCACCCCAATTGTCAATCACTGATAATGAATATCCTTTCTGTTTAATAATGAAGATACAAATGTGAGAGTGCATAATGAGTATTATAGGTACTTTAGTTTCATTACCTTGTGAGCTGTCCTAGCATGTTGGATGAATATCCTTGCTCCTTCCTTGTGGTGATACTTCAGTTTCTTCCTATTATTAGCATTTTGCTTTGAAAGCTCCTACATTACACAAGTGGTACGTAACAAGCAAAAGAAGAGTTAGTATTGTAAAGGTGTACAATTTGGGAAGCTCCTATCTCCTCAACTTATACATATTCATATATTTGAGTTGTACATATTTGTTCGAATGCAATAGAATACCACTATCTAACATCTTCTCCAATCAATTAGAATCTAATTTTCATAAACACTATATCCAATGGTTTTTGCTCTCATTCTCTTGTAGACGTTCTCAAATTTTACCAACCTGAAATGTAGAACTAAAAGCAATGAATAGCCTAATAAATGAAAACAAGCTTTGCATTCGATTATGCCTAATACCAATAAAATACATGTAAAAGCATGTGAAGAAGTAGAGGTTATTTATCAATGAAGAAGCAGAGCTTATTCATCAATAACATACATGTACAAGCTCTTCATTATATATATATATATATATAAGCTCACCAGTGAAGAAGCATAGCTTATTTATCACAAGCCCTGCATTCGATTATTTATCACAAGCTTATATATATTAATACCAACAAATACATGTAAAAGTTAATATATTCTTATATATTAACTTTCAATATTAAAAAAAAAAAAAGGACTATTCTATGCTCATTCCATTTATTACAAAATCAACTTGTGATAAAAAAAAAAAAAAAAATTGTTGTTCAACGATATAAGAAAAAGTTGGCATCTAATTTGGATGTATATTAGAAAATGATGTATAGAATGCATACCAAAAAGTGGGTAGTAGTGTAAACATTATCTCATAGCTAGTCCCGGTGACTCTTAGGTCTCCCATTCCATATTCGATCATTTGGTAGATTAGTTCATCCTCTTGCAGGTGTTCCACATGACAAGTAGTACTTATACAATTGGTGCCTAAACACAGAGTACAACTTTGCCGTCTTCTTATCAACATATTCAATTATCTTTGGATGAGATAAGTCCACCACAAATAATACCTATATTATCAAGCATAAATAGATAAAAGTGAGTGCTTGAAATTATTATGAATAAACTAAATTAAAATCAAACTCACAAGCAACTTATTCCGCAGTGTCCTCTTTTCTGAAGATGGGACCTTCATTCATTTCTTGTAGCAAACTGACGAGTGAGTCCGAACAATATTCCCTATCTCGGTAGTGAAAAAACCTGATACTACCAAACCACTTGGAACTTGAAGTTTGAAATCAAATATGACTGGCATCTTCTTCCCATTATTTGCCTCCAAAATATCGTGGAGGCCTTTCCCGCATGACTTTCCACATGTCATCTTTTTGACATTAAAGTTAAAATTTGTCTCTAAAAATTAAAAAAGAATATATGCATTGATTAATTTTATGACTTGTTTAAAACAACATTAAAAGATCAACTCCTAAATAAAAATGTTGAAAGAATTGTAAGTAGCCATTCTCAAATACCTAAGTTCATGTTTGCTGGCTTTTCTGGTGAAGAAGTAGGTGGTGGAGGAGGTGGTGGTGGCGGAGGTGGCGGAGGAGGTGGTGGTGGCAGAGGCGGAGGTGGGGCGTCCCTCACCGTTTCACCCTCTTTCCTCATTGAGTAGGAGTTGTCATCTAATAAATTTAAAAAAAAAATTTTATGTATGTAACAGACTAACACCATGGATAAATCATTATAACCATAAAATAATAAACATTAATTTGTTATAAATAATATGACTATTAGTAAATATATAAGCAAATAGACTATTGGAGAATATAAATATTGATTTATAATGTACAGATCTCACCATAATCATCAATCAATATCTGTGTCACAAGTTGCAACCCCTTCCTCCGTCTCCTCCTCATCCTTATCATTTTCCTCTTCCTCCTCATCCCCCTCTTTCTCCTCATCCTCCCCCTCCTTCTCTAGCCCTAACATTCTTCGTACCTCTTTGTCATTAGCATCAAAAGATTCAGAATCAACATCATCTCTAGATAATTCAATATTAACTTCATCATCCTCGTTCAGGATTGGTCTCATGAAAATTTCATTTTCATCTACATAATCATCATCGTCTTCATCATTATCATGGTCCACACTATCATCATCTTTGTCAGGAACATCCCAAACGTGCCTATGTTGAATCTTCTACACAACTTTCCAAGGATGGCCCAACTTTAAGTCATCAATGTAAAATACTTGATGTGTTTATCTAGCTAGCACATATGGATCACTATCATACCACCGATTATTTACATTGACTGATGTAAGATGATAATCCCGAATAAATCTTTTTCCTCTGGTATCTATATTGTACCATTGACATTTGAAAAGAATCACCTTATAACCTCTTATAAATTGTACTTTAATGACATTAATTAATCGGCCATAGAAGTTACATGGTTCACCGTTGTGTGCCCCTGGTGTCATTACCCTACTGTTATGCGTTGTACGATTTTGATCAACTTGTGTGACCAAATAGCGAATGTCGTTCATAATACAACCTGTGTATTGGACAGTACGTCGATCCGGACCTTGGGCTAATGAAAAATTTTCTTCACTCACCAATCTAGTTTCTTGATAATACAATGACGTGACCTGCTGCCTAAACCATTCAGGAAACAACTGTTTATGTCTCAGTTGTACATTGACATGATTATCTCTTTCCAAAATCTGGATATGATCACTGCATACATATATATATATATATATATAAGTTAAAGTTGTAGAATTATAAATATTTTTATTAGACAATATGGGGTGACTGATGTTGCCAGATTTTATGTTCTTTCTTTCCATGGGATTCTCTATTAAGTATAATCCCTTAATTTGAGGAAGATTGACATCTAGATGACTTGTTGATAGTTGTGTCCTAGCTACTTGCTACACTCCCTTAATCTAAGGAGTGACAACTTTAGGGTTTACCGGGTTAATAGGATTTGCCAAGGTAGGGTTGCTTGTAACCTTCTACCTCATTATATATCCCCCTTGTACATTCAAACAAACTTAAAGTTTTGCACAATTTCAATATATGTAAAACCATTACTATCACATACCTCTTAAAGTCTTCTATTTCTTTACAATGTCTAAGATATACCAATATGCCACTTCTATATCTTCCCTCGAAAGTTCAACCAGTACACGAGCTCCAAATGGACATGCTTTTTGTGTAAACACTGAGAGCAATAGATTGGGATCACCACCGTCATCGTTTCTTTCTAGTCAAGTGAATGGAGTCTCAACATATCACACAAATACATTGGGCAAAAAGTTAAGGACTCGTATGCCAAGTGTGCTTCCATAATAGAGCCTTCAGGGTGAGCTTTGTTACATATAGATTTCTTGTACAAGCCTAACAATCTATTAAATGAACAATTATCAGTAAGTAGAAAGACACACTTAATGCAATTAAAGTAAATCTGATGGCATTTTACCTTTCTACAGGACACATCCATCGGTATCTGATTGGTCATACCAATTTTGCTTCATGTGGTAAGTGTACTGTTCAGTGAACCATGGGAACAAAGAATGCAGGCAGGAATATGTTCTCTAGTTTGCACAATATGTGGATAATGTCTTTTTCCAACTTATCAATATCAGAAACAATCAGTGTCCTTGCACATATTTGTTGGAAGAAAATTGACAGCTCAACAAGTGGGCCATATATTTGTTTTTTCAAATGTTTTCTAACTCCCATTGGAAGCACACGTTGCATCAACACATGACAATCATGGCTCTTCAAACCTAACACCTTCCTTTCATCCACACTCACTTTATGAGATATATTTGTTGCATAACCATCTGGAAAATTGATTTCAACCAATGCAAGAAATCTTTACGCTCAGATGGCTTGAATACATACTGAGCTAAAGGCTTATCCAATATATTACGTGCATTTAGTTTCAAATGAAAACTTTCCCTGATATTCATGTCTTGTAAATCCATCCTCGCCTTGAGGGTATCCTTTGACTTCCTCGTATTCAGCAATGTCCCGATCAAATAATCAAATATACTCTTCTCAATATGCATAACGTCAAGATTATGCCTAATCTTTAATTTGGACTAGTATTCCAACTCAAAAAAAAAAAAAAAATACTCTTCCTTGTCCAATTTAATTCTTCAGCATTCCGTTTCCTCTTCCTATCTTTATTGCTATCATGTTTACCAAACTTATGGGGTACAAGGTAATCAAATTAATCAAGTATACCATTGCCTGAGAATTCTCTTGGACAATGCCTCATCTCTCAACGACCATTAAATAGTTGAGTATTTTTGCACCATGAATGATTTATAGGTAAATAACGACGATGACCAATATGACAATACTTACTTCTCAACTTGGTGTATGATCCATCCTCATTGCACATCGAACATGCTAACTTACCATGAGTGCTCCAACCGGATAAATTTCCATAAGCACGAAAATCATTAATGGTCCACATAACAGCTCCACGCAAATTAAATGTACTCCCAGTCATCTTATCATGAGTTTGAAAGCCATTTCCCCACAATTCCTTAAGCTTGACAACTAATGGGCGCAAATACACATCAATCTCATTTCTAGGTGCTTTTGGCCCACGAATTAACAAGGTTAAAAAAGAGAATGGTTTTTTCATGCATTTCCAATGGGGAAAATTATATGGAAATATAACAACTAACCACATACTGTACGACTTACTTATATATGAAAATGGAGTAAACCCGTCACTTGTAAGGCCCAATATGATATTTCGTGGGTCTTGAGCAAAATCAGGGTACATTTGGTCAAATTCTTTCCATGTGTTAGAGTCTACTGGATGTCTTATTGTGTCCAAATCATTAACTCTTTTGTCCTTGTGCCACCTTATGTCTTCACTTGTATGTCTCTACATGAACAACCTTTGTAGCCTGGGTTTAAGTGGAAAATATCATAACACTTTTCTTGGAACCTTTTTTCTTTGCTCATAATGACTATCTTTATACATTGGCTCATTACAAATTGGACATCTATCTTTCTTTTCATGTTCTTTATAGAACAATACACAATCATAATAGCAAGCATGTATATTCTCACACCTTAATCCAAGACTTTTCAATATCTTCTTGTACTCACGGAACGATTCTGGAACACTGCTTGGTTTGGGACACATCTTCTTCATCATTGCTAGCATCTTATCAATGGCCTTGTTTGTCATGTGTTTATAAACTTTGTCGTGAATTAATTCAACAACATAAGACAAAACTGTATATTGATTGCATCCGGCGTATAGTTCCTTTTAAGCTTCACGAAGCAACATATCATAAGTATCAACATCTACCCTAAGAGCATTGGTCATATCTCCGCCCCACATGGTATCTTGGACCCCCATTGTATCTTGATCTTCATCATCATCATCATCATCATTATGCATTCTTCCAAATGCATCATCCATCATATTAAACATGTTGACACTAGAATTATTAATCGGCTCGTTGTTCGTAGACATTGAAGACTCTCCTTGCACTTGATTAATATGCTCACCATGATTTATCCATGTATCATAATTCATATCTATACCAGAATTCAATAAATGGAGATGAACATCTTCAGCTGAGTGAAAAAATCTGTTATGACAAACTCTACAAGGACACAGTATCTGATTATTCTGGTTCACATGGTAACAAGCAGCATCAATGAATGATTGGACCCCTTCTCTATACTCGAAACTAAGGCGATTCCAACAACGAATCCATTGTCTATCCATAACGTCAGATCACTTCAATACTACTATTGGGCGCAAACTTTGATATATTCTAATAGGTTGCCATAAAAATTTTAAAAAATTTGTTAAGATAGGCATATAATATAGCAAAGATGAATTTCAATAGAACAAAGAAAGCAACGATAGGCATACAATATTGCAAAGATGTATTTCATATAACTGGAAATTCAAGATTAGGAAGATAAGCATTCACACCCATCTAACTACAATTTTTTTATTTTTTATTTATTACTTTTATTTTTTTAAAGCATGCCATTTAAGTATTCACACCCACATTGTAAACCGTAATTTAGAAATATATATCAACTGTAAGACTAAGTCCTAACTCCTCATCCAAAAGAAACTTTTAAGTTGTTACTCGGTCAACAATATATGTTGGACAGGTTTTATATTTTTGAATATTTTTTTTTCAAAGATTATTGTGATTAGCTTCCATCGTTTAATCTGGAGGTGATTTTGAATTTTGAATTGTAGCTTGTAAATAGGATTTTCAATGATGTAATATGTATTGAATTATAAATACATGGCACCCTACATTATTAAGGGTATGCAAAACCATTGAAGAAAACCTTGTTCATTGTTTTTTTTTAGTTTCCCGCAATTTTCTACTTTTATAATCTTCTGTGATTCTCTAGTTCTTTATGGTACTCAGAGCCCCATAAGTCCAATGACAGAAGATAATTTTTTTTTTCTACCCACCATGTCCTAGATTAATCCCCCACCTGCAGTCCATACTGCAAATATGTCTTCCTACATGACTACTATTGTGAACATGAAACTATATAGGACTAACTATCCGCTGTGGTTAGCCCTGATTCTAGTCGTGATCTTATGGGCTATGTCGATGACATCATCGTAAAATTTAATTAAACGACAAAAATAGAAAAATCTTCTACCTCAATAACACGAGTGAGATTTCTACTGCTAGGTTTCTCTTCTCTGCACATACTTAGAATGATCTATTCCACCCAAAAAAAATTCCTTACCAAAGGTGGCCAACAGGGCCGACAAACCCAAATCCGAACAAGCTGGTAGTACCTACTCTTTTCCAGTCGATCTTTAACTCTTCATCTTCACCCTGTACACGAAGACAAATAAGTTAGTCTATTATCGTGGGAAACTAATTAGCAGCCTATTTGATAGCAACGTCTTGCAGGCATACATTTGATCATTTAATATAAAACAAAATGTTGAGAAATTCCAAAACTTCTATGTTATATTCTCTGATATATGTAGCCGAAAATTGGGGACTCTGCACAAGGTGTTATGCTTAACATCTTTTCAGAAAGTGTTTGGTACATTTACAACAGAAAAATCGTTTTAAAACATTACCAAAACATATCCTGTTTCTCTAAACTAAGAAAAATATACACTATGAAGAAGTAGTTTAATATCCTCTCCAAAATATGTGATCCTCCAAATCATGAGATAAAGAAAATGCAGCTACCAAACCTTTTCCCTAAACATGGAGAAAGACTTAAATTGAACGGGTTCCCTGCCACTTACACATGGAATTGTATTATTCAACACCATGCGACAGTGAACCTGCTCAATGTAAGTTGCTCACAAGAAACCATATCCGCTTGGTGCCACATTGACCCCATTATTAAGCAACATATCCGACACTTCTTGAGGATTAAAAAAATAACAAGCACAATGAAAGTCTTTTCAAATCTCATGGTAACAATTCAATAAACATTGACAAATGAAATAAACAAATACAGAGGTCATCCCAAGCATGAAAGCAATTCCACAAACACAGACACATAAACACAAGCACAAGAGGTAAAGAAGAAAGTAACCATTCTTCGAACAATGAAACGAGATATTTCAAATTTTTTGCAAGACACAAAAGAAACTAAGTAGGTGTTCCCTTGCATTTCTATAAACTGATGATATTTGTGTTTTCACATAATGCTCTTACAGAGTCTTTAAGTTCTACTTGAAAAATACTCCACTCCCATCCCCATATTAACTTTAAAAGACAAATGTGCACTTGTGGAAATTTTAAGTTTGTTTGAATGTATTTTTCATAGATTGATTGAATGTACAGGGAGGATATATAATGAGGTAGAAGGTTACAAGCAACCCTACCTTGGCAAATCCTACTAACTCGGCAAACCCTAAAGTTGTCACTCCTTAAATTAAGGGAATGCAGCAAGTAGCTAGTACACAACTATCAACAAGTCATTTACATGTCAATCTTCCCCAAATTAAAGGATTAGACTTAATAGAGAATCACATGGAAAGAGGAAACATAAAATCTGGCCTCATCAGTCACCCCATATCGTTTAATATCCATATGTAGCATCAGTCACCCCATATCGTCTAATAGTACTAATTAGCCAACAAAAACCATACTCCATGCGCTAAATGCTCTCATAAATATCATTTTACATTTCAAGAACATACCACCAGACTTTTCCCCAACAAGTTCATCAACTGGTCAATCCTTCTTACTTAAATAGCACTTGAATAAGAAGATTCTGGTCCGTCCCACACTAAGCGAAAAACCTGCTCCATAACAATGTAAAAAAAAAACCTCTAAGAAAATGCACCTAATATCAAGTAAGGACTTATATATATTGTACTTCTTAAAAATTAAACTTGCGTTGTGCTGATATTTCAAAAATTTGTTCATCGTAACTTGTAAACATAGATAAAGTATCATTATCAACTTAACTAAAAGGCAAATCGATTCAAGAACTACTAAATATATGACCCTATATCACGGAGCCTGCTTTGATCGATTCATCCTTAATACCATTTGGTAAAGGCCATCCCAAGCATGAAAGTAATTCCACAAACACAAACACATAAACACAAGAACAAGAGCTAAATTATCAAATGTAGGAGAAAACAAGAGAGATCTATATGGGAAAACAGTGAATAACATAGACCAATTTAAGTAAAATTTCAAATTTTCACAGTTGAGACAAATTTACAAGAGTGAAATCAAGAAGAGTGCAGTAATTTCAAGAGATAGAGAGAGATTTAAGTACCTTTTGATTAGAAATTGGGAGAAAGGATAGCTAAGAAATTAGGTCTTCTTAAATAAAAGAGAGTAGAGTACGAGTGCACGCAGTTGAGGTTTGAGGAAGATAAAAGCGTGATGCAGTCATGGCCGCCAACAATCCGTCATCGGCAAAGTTGAGAGACTAAGAGACGAAGTAGGGTGGAAGTAGAATAGATGAGTTTTAATTGGGGCTTTGTTTTTATGTTTTTTTTTTTTTTTTTTAAATTTTTTCCCTCTGCCTTTAGTAAAACAAATGGTGATGAATTGACTTT